ATTTGTTTCACACTTATTTAGGTCATATTCAGTGCGATCCATTTATGATCTTTGTGACGTTCTTCCAATCTTGAAAAAAGGCTCCAGCTTACCTGAATGTCTTCCTCTGCATCTGAGTCGCTGTTGTTAGTTTGTGTCTGCTGTGTGTTGTGGTCACTTGAGGGAAGAGAGAATGAGGAAAAGGGTAAAATCGGAAGAGACAGCGTGTAATCTGTGAGCAACTGTCATAACGCCCAATTACGTTTAAATCATGATTTCCACGACAGAACACGTTTGTGAAATTCCACATAGGAAACATAACCGTCTGTGTGTGTGCGTGCGTAGTTTGATACCTCCCAGAGACTACCAGTGTCCCATCGTCCAGTAAATAGTCTATTACATTCTGAGGCAGTGGAAGAATCAGACTGGAAAACAAGACGAACCACATCACGTATATAATACACAGAAAACAACAAAATATATGAAATAAAAGCACAGAAGTAGAAGAAGGGTGCACTGTTTACTATTTACACTCACGAAGACAGAAAGGGCAGCTGTCTGCTTTTTGTCTGTCGGCTAACGTTAGCAGCCGGCTAGCTGCCCTTTATTTTACAGCAACAATTATAAAAACGTTCAGTGGACTTGCTCTACAAACGTTAGCAGTTTACCTTTTAATCGTATGTTTCTTAAATATCGGATACCAAACCGAAAACTGACAGTTGACAACTTGCTCCTTCTTCATGCTGCAATATCCTGTAAAGGAAACGAGTCCATCAGTAAATAACTTCCGAATCTCTTTTAGAAACACATTAAAATTCTGGCTTGAAATTACACAAAATCTTCACAGTTATGAATCGATTTTAATTATTTTAATTTTACTCAGAAAACGGTGAAAATAAATACATTAGTTAGCTGTTGGTACAATTAAAAATCGTGCCGTAAGTTTTCGCTCGGGGAATCATTTTCATGGTGCACATGTAGGCGTGCCGTGAGCTGACGGAGATCGTTTATTAAAAAGAAGACCTCACTGTGGATGCCTTAAACTACAATTGTAAACGTAAAAAAATAAAAAAAATATTTTATTTTAAAGAATTAACCGGATTCATATATAGGTGTATTTTCCGTGAAATGTCTTATTTTTTTTTTTACTGCAAACAAAGACGATCATTAAAAGTAGAATGAAGTAATTGCTGGATTTGTATTGTAAATATTTCATTAAAAATGTTAACATTGAAACTGTTTAAGTCTCTCGGTTCTTCCCATTATTGTGACGTTTGTTGTATCAGGAAGTGGCAGCAGAGTGACTCATCATTGTTTCTCTACTCTCTACAACTAGTCACACACGAAAGGGAGTTCACGTGAGTTAATTTGAGTGTTTTTTACAAATTTACCGGATTGTTAAAAGTTTAAAATACTCGAGCTCTGGCAGTTTGTAGCACTGTGACGGGTAAAGCAGATACCCGCCGTTAAATAAACAAAGAAACACAGGGAAGGAAAGCTAAATGCGGAAAGGTAGGGGGAAATTGAACGGTCTTGCAGTTGCCTGGCTCTGGCAGCTAATTGAGTAGCTCATGATCTGAAACGTCTCTTCAGCGTTTAAGCACGGGTCGATACAACTGCTTTATTTTGCTGCCCAGGTCAGGCTTTCTGACTCGTCTTTCTTTCATTTTCAGTCGGACAGTAACAATGAGCAACCACGAAGAACCCAAAGACACTGCAGCTCCTCACATTGTGAAAGAAGAGGTGTGTGTGTGTTTAAATGTTTGTGAATGAGGGCGTTCAGAAAAAAAATGTCGACGCTAGCAGTATAAAATTGCTATAATAGTGCATTGGCTATAAATTGGCTTCACTTGTGTAATATAAAAATTGTGTTATACAGTTTAAAGTAATAAAGTTTCAATGTGGAGCTTCCATGTTAGTTTACTGAACAGTAGGCATGTGATGAGCTGTGCGTATGTGTTTGTTTGTTTTCTAGCTTATTGCGGCAGGGAAATGGGTGAAGCTGGAAAAGACTACATATGTGGACCCCGCTGGAAACACCAGGTATTGTTCTGTCTGTGGATTTCCATATTCCCAGTGAGATTAATTAACACTGTTAAAATAGTGGATAGCAATATAAGACATTGCCTGAGTTTAAAATAATGAGTGTATGTGCAGTGACAAAAAGATCTTTATTTAATTTAGAAATTTGGGAAATGTTGGTGTTTATCCCGACAAAACAATAAATTTAAAGCGTAATATAATAGCTGAAATAAAATAGAGTAGCTTGATAGAATAACACAGAACACATTGCTGGTCTGTTGAGGTGAAGAGAGAGCCAAATGTGAAAGCAACGGTACTGTTTTACTGTTAGTGCTACATCCCTACCCCCACCAATGGTCATGATCTATGGGTAGCAATGGAAAGAATGAGATCGCGAAGCCACACTCTGGAAATAAGCATCCTCCGAGTGGTGGCTGAGCTGAGGGCGAGAAGGGGCTCTGGGTAGAACTGCTGCCTCTCCACAGAGGAGTCGTCTGAAGTGGTTTGAGCATCTAAGATAGTGCCTGGGTCCCTTCTAGGCAAGGTATGTCTTACTTGGAGGAGACCCCATGGTAGACCTAGGATTTGCTGCGGACGTTATGTCTCTCAGATGGATTGGGAAAAACTCTTTCCAATGGAAGATTTGGAAGAGGTGGCTAGGAAGAAGGAAGTCTGAGCATCTCTGCTTAGACTGCTACCCAGCGACGTAGACACATAATTCAGTTTTTTTTCACCATCATTCATTTTTACTCTTAGCGACGTACAAACCTGTCTGAAACACTCAGTTTCAGACAGGTTTTTTTCTGCTCTTGTCTCTATGCGATGTCAGTAGATGGTTATGTGGATGTTTCCTCTCAGGAGCCCCACCCACCAACTGTTCAAAAATGTTGATTTTGATGGGCAGCCAATCAGAAGAAAGTTAGCTTAACTGGAAGAGGAAGGAAGGATGGTAGAGCAGCACAACAGGTCCACCCTTAAACTACTTTGATTACCTGTTTTAAACCTCCAGAACCTGGGAGACTGTGAAACGGACAACGAGGCGGGCCCATACTGAAGCAGATGGTGAGCGTATCTTCTTTCATTTTCTGGTTGTTCAGCTTTTGCCAGAGTTATTGAAGGCATACAACATATTTCCTCCAGGTGTGGGAATAATCGCTCTGCTGAAACGGACGCTGCATAAGGACTGCGTAGTGATGGTGAAGCAGTTCCGCCCTCCTCTGGGATGCTACACTCTGGAGTTTCCTGCAGGTCAGTTTTTTCACTCATGATGTGCTCGATGATGGAGTATGTTCCAGGGTAATGAAAAGTGCTTAATCATCTCCAAGTTGGCACTTTGTTATTTTTCTGTTGTTTAGGATTGATCGATGAGGGGGAAACTGCCGAGGCGGCTGCACTGAGGGAACTGAAGGAGGAAACTGGTTACACAGGAGAAGTAGTAGGAGTCACTCCAGGTACTATTGCACACCATACTGCAGAAATTCAGGGATCGGCAGGATGACGTGTCCATACACATTTTATCTTTGAAAATTCCAATAAGAGCGATAAGGTTTTTAAGTAGACTGATAAGTTTGTTTTGGCTAACATTATTGCTGTGCTTGCAGCAACCTGTCTGGACCCTGGTCTGTCTAACTGCACCATTCAGACTATCCTGGTCAACATCAATGGTGACGATGTGGAGAATATCAACCCAACACAGAAGCTGGGTGAGAAAACATTTCACAACTCAGTTTTTTCACCATCATCATTCATTTTTACTCTAACTTGTTTAGGACATAATTCAGTTGGCCA